ACTTTCCCTATGAAGAAAGGTTAAAACGCTTGGGGCTCTTTAAGGGCTGAGGGATGATATGATCGAGGTTTATAAGTTTATGCATGGGATAGAGCAGTTAGAGAAAGAAGTACTTTTCTCCCTTTCTCACAATACAAGAACTCGTGGGCACTCCATGAAATTGCTGAGCAATCGGGTTAGAACAGATGAAAGGAAGTACTTCTTCACCCAAAGAGTGATTAACACATGGAATTCACTGCCACAGGAGGTGGTGGCAGCTACAAGCATGGACAAGCTTCAAGAGGGAATTAGATAAGCATATGGAGCAGAAGTCCATCAGTAGCCACAAGGTATAGATAGGAACTTGCAGGCTGGGGCAGGTGATGCACTCTATTCTTGGTGCCGGGGGGGGCAACAGTGGGAGGGCTCCTAGTGTCCTGGCCCCACTGGTGGACCTCCTGATGGCATCTGGTATTTTTGGCCACTGTGTGACCCAGAGTGTTGGACTGGATGGGCCATTGGCCTGATCCAGCATTGGCTTCTCTTATGTTCTTATGTTCTTCTCTCCTGAATGGGATAATCATGCTTGCAGATTTCTGTGACTATATTTTTATCTCTATGCTTTATTTAGTGGTATTTTCTCCAACTTTAGATTTTGTACAATATGTAGAAATGTGGTCTAGAAGCTGGCTATTTGAGCACCTGAGTCTGTGGAAGACACCTCCTTAGAGCTCAAGTGTGTCGAGAAATGTCTTCTGTAACGAGGCAAAAGGCTTTGGGAAGGGGGTCCCCCTGCCACATACCTTTCCTTAGCCCAGGTTGCTGGGCTGAATTCTCTGCTCTCTCCTCGTTCTTCTCTCCGTCCCACGCAGCTCTCCTACGTCGATTCGGAGGGCAACCCCATTGGAGTGGTGCAGATGACGTTCCTGAGGCTCTTGAGTGCTTCTGCCCACCAGAACGTCACCTACAGCTGCTTCCAGTCAGTGGCGTGGCGTGACGACTCCACAGGCAACCACGACAGGGCCATCCGCTTCCTGGGCTCCAACGACGAAGAGATGTCCTATGACAACAACCCCTTCATCAGGGCTGTCGTCGATGGCTGCGCGGTGAGTGTCCTCACAAAGGCTGGCCTCTGCCATGCAGTGGTAAAAACCCATTGCGGGAATCCAGTCCACAGCTCCGTGGCAGAGCACAGGCTTTGCATGCAGAAGGCCCCGTGTCCAGGCCACCAGTCAGAGCAGGCACTCCCGGGCCAGAGGCACAGATGGCCTGATCCAGCCTAAGGCAGCTTCATGCCGTCTTCGTCATTCTGTTGGGAGGGATCCTCACTCAGTGGTAGGATGTCCGTCCATCCATCCCCCCCGCAGTCCACAGTATCTGAGGCAGCAGATGCTCGTGCGATGTGGGGGCCATCTGCCCCACTCCCAAGTGCAGAGAGAGAAGAACTGCTCAGGAGTCTTAACTTCTCACCATGCCTCCATGGAGTCTTGAGTACTGGATGATCAGACATGCTCTTAGTAATTGCCCTTCCCCAGTTTTGTACTCAGTCTTGGTGAAATAAGAGCAGGCATTGCAAAGAGTGACTCCCCCTCACTTCGACTACCGAGGAGGAGGGTCAGTCAGGACCTCCCACTTCCCTCTCATCCAGAAGCAGCAGCCAAGGAGCTGAATCTCTACTTTCGGACGGGATGCAGGTGGAGGGGGGGATGGCAGGGAGGGAGGGAGGCAGAGGTGGCCTCTGCCACCGCCGCTACAGCAGGTCCAGTCCTTGGACGGACCACAGGTCATCTGTGGGCTGCTCTGTACACATCAAGAGAGCCTTTTGTCATTCATACTCCAACAAATGGTGCATTTATGAGATATAAATGATTTCATAAAGAAAAGCCACCACTCACTGGTAGAAGAAAAAGCAGTCATTTAATAGTCCATGTCTCTTTGGCGTGTTCATACATCAGAACCAACATAACCTTTTAAAGAGCTCAGCGAGGGTGTGGCTCTTCACGACCAGCTCTGCCGATCAAAGGCTCCTGTGAGGCCAAAGTTGTGCTCCTGCAGAGGAAGCTCCCTGCTGCTTCTCTGCATGACCCACCCCTTTGGGGGCTGGCCTCCTTCAAGAAGCAGAGATTCATTCCGAGGAGGGGGAGGAGGAAAGGCTCTTAGTCTTCCTTCTTCCTCTTGCACTCTTCAAAACCCTCTCAGGCACAGAAATTCACTGGGATTCCAGTTCTGATTCAGAGGAAACACGGGCTGCATCTTCGCATGGTAGTCCTTGCCTCAAAGCCTGCAGCCCACCTAAAGGTGCACCTTCTAGAAGCAAACTTTGCTGCAAAATGGCCTGCCTGGTAGCCAACAACTGTGCAGATTCAGGTGGGGGGCTGATGCAGGGTGCTGGCTGGCTATGAGTTATCTGTGGATGTAGCCATGTCACTTACCATAGAGGCATAGAATCATAGAGTTGGAAGGGACCCCCAGCGTCTTCTAGTCCAACCCCCTGCACAAGGTAGGAAATTCACAAACGCCTCTCCCTCCACACTCCCAGTGACCGCTGTTCCATGCCCAGAAGATGACAAAAAACCTCCAGGTTCCCTAGCCAAACTGGCCTGGAGAAAAATTGCTTCCAGACCCCAAAGTGACAATCAGCATTTCCCTGGTCTTGTAAGAAAGGGCCATGTTTGGGTCCACTGAGCTGAACAACCTTCCTCGGTTTGTTGCAGTAGAGGTTTCTCTCATGGGATCCACAGATCAAAAGGCCAACGTAAAGCAAAAACACTTAAGCATAAATCTACTCTTTTGTTGTTCTGAGTCCCTACAAGTACTTCCTTTTAACTCTAGCATTTATTTATCTTTCTGAAATGGTGGCTTGGGCAGTGCTCATGATTCAAAGATAAAACTGGCAACTATATTTTGTAGATTCCATAAAATTTCCCATTCGCTTTTCTATCCTCCCCTGCCTTTTTCAACTGAGCTTCCAAGCAAGCCTAATAAAATTCCAATTAACAAGTACTTCATTCTGCAGGCACACTAGTTTTTCCTGTTCTGTGCAGTCTGCATGCGAAGTCCCTAGTGTCAGTTCTCAGGTAGAAATTGAGGTATTGTGGAGTGGTAGAATCCCCCCCCCAAAAAAAAAAAATAAAACTGTGCAAATATTTACCTTTCCCCAAAATTGTTTGGGCCAGTTTCCCCTGACTCCTGTTTCTCTGCCTGAGTGACGGGGTGGTCCATCATGCAGTGAACCAGATGACGCTGACAGGCTCTGTAGTCAGTCCGCTGGGCTCTATGCTGACCTCACTGAGGGCAATAATGCTCCCCGGTGACTCCCTGAACAGGGTGATGCCACGAGGCCATGAACGGGGGCTCCCTAAAGACAGCTCTGCAGGCCGGTGACACCAAGAGCAAACACAGGCAGACTTTGGTGGGCGAGGAGGGCTGAGGAATCATGACGCCCTCCCCACGCCCCCAGCCATGGTAGAGTGGTCTTGCTTCTGCATGCCATGGGCTCCTCTGATACTCCCTTTTGTCTTGTCCACCTTCCCTCAGACAAAGAAAGGCCATCAAAAGACAATCTTGGAAATCAACACGCCCAGAGTGGAGCAGGTCCCCATTGTCGACATCATGTTCAACGACTTTGGCGAAGCATCACAGAAGTTTGGATTTGAGGTGGGACCAGCTTGCTTCATGGGCTAAGAGCCACTCGGAACACTAGTCTCCAAATGAGCAACCTCATAACCTCATTGCGCCTTCTCTTTTTGGCTACGTTGTGGTCGTCGTCACGTGCACGTTCTGAAACGGAACGGTTTGATGGGTTTGTTGTTTTCATTTGTCTTCTTGTTTCCTCTGAGTCCCAGCTCTTCCACCAGACCCACGACCTCCTGATGCCCCAGCCAGAGACAGAACCGTTCCCACCACAGGCTCCAGAATCACATGACTTAAAAGCACCACCCGGTGGCGGCGGCGGCAACAGCAGCAGCCTCCCACTGCTATGCGGCTTCTCCTGGCCTGCCAGTGGCTTTGGCTTCCTTGCGTGGCTCGAAGGGGAGAAGCACTCTGGCCACGCCACCAGCACCCGCTCAGTCTCCTTTCTGACAGCCTCACTGGAGTCAGTGAAAGACATTTCCCCGACTGTGGAGTTTCCTATCTCTGGAAGGTTCTGAGAAGACCATGGAGAAACACCGGCCAGGCGTGAGATGGCGGTTGCCTCTGTATAGGAATGTGGACCTTTGCAAGCCCTTCCAGTTAGAATCTATGACTTCACTGGGGTTTCGATCAGAACCCATCTGGAATAGCCCTCAAAATAATTGTTTATCTGTTTTCCTATTTAGATCCTAAAACTAACGACTGAAACCAATTGGGGGGGAGGGGAATTGCAGGTTCTGACTGTATACCCCATATGATAAAGGTGCTTCTATTTTTGTATGTTTGTAAGTAAATATTTGTATATTATTATTTTAAATATAAAGTATCTCTGGCTTCAAAACATGCATGTCCTGCATTGGGCAGGAGGTTGGACTAGACGGTCTGTATGGCCCCTTCCAACTCTATGATTCCATGACCTACCCATGCCCCCTGTTGGTAATTTAAGGAACAACCATTCTCACTAGCATTCCAGTGTAGGGGCCAAAACTCCTGTCAGTTAAGGCAATAAACCACTGATGTTTGCCCTGTGACAAACATCCAGGCCCTGGCCACCTGATCCAAGGGATGGTTGCTCAGTTGAGTTCCACCAGCCTGCCTCCTCGGTCAGCATGCTTAGAACTGTGGCCTTAGTTTTGGGCACACAAGCCCTTTTTTGTGTAGTCCAAACGATGCTTTATAAAAGTTAAAATCAAGCATGTCCTTGTATGTTTATGGAATCAGGGCAAACACATAACTCCAAAAGCAAGATAAACTGTGGAGTTTCAGATGAATTTTCAGGAAACACCTTGCTCTATTGGAATGCCTTTGCTGCAAAATGCTCCCTAGCCTTTCACAAACGTTTTGTTCTGATTTGGTCAGCATTGACGACTAGTTCACACATGAGGTCAGCTCCATCACTGTCTTGCCTTCACTTGATCCAGAGTACAGGTTTATATTTTAAAAAATACCTTCTCCAAAGAAAAAGGCTAGCTTCCCTTTCTGGGTTGCATCCCCAGGGGAAGTTGCGTATGGCAGGGATATCCATGGCTTTCCTCTCTTCAAATACAAAAAGAACTAAACCCCCAGGGGCTCCTGTTTTGTCTTTGTTGGTGCTATCTGTTTGAATCACTTTATGACAACACTGGCGGAGCCCTGCCGTTCGCCAGCCTCCCAGGTCTCTTCGCTCCCACCGGTCCCGGATGGAGTTTCATACCAGCTTCACACTCAATAAGTAGGTTGAGCTGCTGCTTTGAATCTCATGGCGGTGCCTTGGAAGACCCGTGTGGAAAGTATTGAAACTGTGCTTCCTTCTGGGGTTTTGTTTATTTTTTTTGTAACAAATAAAATATTCATACATTTTATATGATGGTGTAATTATGCCAGATTTGTACTCAGTCGCTGAATATTTGTGGTGCTAATTTATGTATTTGTTCAATGTACTGAAGTCAAGATCAGACTCTCCCCCACCCGCACTTGTATCACCCTCTGAAGATCCAGAGGAGACTGTGCAGCTCCGTTGCCTTTCCACAAAGGTCTTCTCGTTGGCATCAGTAAGCCCTGTCAGTTGGGACCTGCAGTCACAGTTGGGCTCCCCTGTTTTGACTGGTGCTTCTCCCAGGTTGAAAGGAAAAGACGCAAATGTGCTTATGCCAAATAAAGATGTAGGATTTGCAAAGGAAAAGATATCACATTTACTGTGAATCAAAGCCGATATATGATGTCTTTTCCCCACTGCTCCCCAAAGGAACGTTGGATCCAGAGGGTCCTGAGCTATGCCATGGTGGTGGTGTACTCAGAGCGGCTCAAAGAGTATCTGCATCATCCACCTAGGTGTTTCCATTGGGAAAGAAATACAGCCGTAGAAGGATGGTTCTAAAACTGCCTAGCTGGGGATCCTGGCTTTCCTGGGACTCCTTGTTAGGACGCTCTGGAAGAGCAGAGTGGCTCCCCAGCATGCCAGGCCAGCCGCCTCTTTCCACCACCGCTGGGCTTCCCTGGACGGTGCCACTAGAGCAGTGTTGGCTTTTTCTGGCCCTCACACCTGGTGCCAAGGAGGCCAGACAGCCAGCACCTCACGCAAGCGAGGTGGAAGTGCGCCAGGACCCCCTGCACTGGCCCAGGTCCCGGGTCTGGATGGGCAGGTGTCCTACAGCAGATGACTCGGTAGTGCGGCAGGGGTTACCTGGAGACAACCTCATCCCACAACAAAGCAGTGCAACTTGCAAATATCGTACATGGCGTCTTTCACTTCACTCAGACAACAGCCTTGTTGCAAGAAATCTGGGAAATTCAAAACTGGGTGCATCTATTCATGTCCTGCCCGTGAGAATTACACACACTCGGGTCATGTGATTCTGTTCCAATAATTTCTCATCAAGGGATCTTTAATATGTTTTGTTTGCCACTGTTGGTGCTTCTGTCAAAATCCTACCAAGTGTTGTAAAACTGTACTGAAGTTTCCCCTTTTTTATCCTCCCCTTTCCAGACCACTTCGCTACGGTATATGGCAATAAAAATTACTTCTTGTATTGGCAGACATTTCTTTCTGTGTAATTTTATCCCTCTTCCCCTCTAATATATATGACTTGAACAAATGCTGATGAGAAAAGAAAAATAAAACCTATGAAAACAAAAAAAATTAAGTACATAGGGCCCTTTTTTTAAAAAAAATACATGGGTAACATATTTGTACAGCTTTTCAAACTCCAGTGCCCATAAGAGGTATTTTTAAGGGAAAATATTTTAAACCTGTGTAATAAAGGATTAAATGTAAGAGTTTTTTTTCAATAAATCAAGTTTACTGTTTCCACCTAACCCACCGTGATGTGAATGCTTCTTGAACTAGAACAGAATGTGATTCCATCCCCGCCCCCTGCCGATTCTATTTTGCTGGCTGAAGCATGAAGAGCTCATCAAATTAGTGGAAAAGATGCACCAAGTGATGTGCTATCAAATGCAAACAAGCTCCTCAGCAAGATTAGGATTTCTGAAGGACCAGGATCATCTTTCTTCTAGGAAATGGGTCCGGGGAGGGGGGGTGAAACAATCAGGTTTTGGTTGACCAGAACATCATTTTCTTCCATGACTACTAGATGTACCATCAGTCAGAATTTTATCCTCTTGGTCTTCAGAATTGGAGGATGGAAAAGCAGAAAAACTCAGGTGTGAGATGTTTACGTTGTTTTCCGAATTGGGATTTTCTCAGTGTTCAAGTCGAGGCAATATAAGTCCGCGGCAAAACAGCATCCAAATAACCCGAGGCAACAGAAGGCTGAAACTGGGCTGACCACTGAAGGGAGGGAATGTAATGCAGAATTGGGGGGGGAGGAGAGAAGGTTGAATTTGATTTTAGTGCAGAATTGCTTGGAGGGCACCGCGGTGGACATGGATTAAAAGGAGAGGGCAGAAAGGGCCATTGAGTCTCTCCCATGTGTTTGCCTGCCACATTGTGTTGGGTACATTGGCACTCTGGGCCACAGAACTGCAGATTGCACAGCATGCTTAGTCTCTTGACAGGGCAAGAAAGGAAAGCCACTCACTCCACAGCATGCTTAGTCTCGACTTGACAGGGCAAGAAAGGAAAGCCACTCTGCGCATGCTCAGGTTTACTTTTACATTGTGTCCTTTGAAAAATTCCAGTCCCTCCTGAAGAAACTTTGTACTCGCACAGAGGACGTCAGCTATCCCGGGAGCTAAGAAACAGTGTCCCCCCCCGGGAGCCCCCGGCCTCCGAGCTCCCCGGTGCCATCAGCTCCGTGTCTCTTGGCCAGTCGTGCTGCCGCTTGCTGAGCTTTAGCCTTCCATCTGCCGTGTGGAATAGGAAGACTGTGCCCAACCTGACTTGTAAGGATAATGTATCAGAAGAAGAATGGAGCATAATGCTCAGCATAAAAGGTTCTCTCGCACTGCCTTTGAGGCACAGCCTTCTGGGCTTCGACTCTCCCCGTTGTTTCTTCTTGGGACCCACCCTGCTCCCGCTCAGGCAGGAGACGGAGCTGACGGATCGGCTCTCCACCCATTCCCACGCCAGACCAATCTGTTGAGTTCCAGGCAAGCTCACTCTGCTTACGTGAGTCGTATGGGTTTTTGTTCTCTTAATTCCCTCCAGAGTCACAGCTGCCGCCTTGAGCTCCCCTACCCCCATACACACACACCGTCCCCCCACAGCTTCTCATCCAGCCCCGGCAGGAAAGCAGCATCCTACGTCTCCCTCCTGAGGCAGAGGCTTGCCCGGGCACTGCCCACTCCCCCCCCCAGTAAAGGGCTGACAGTGCCTCCTCGCCTCATAGATGCCAGGGGCAGAGGGGGCTGGCGGCAGAAGGTGCCCTCATGAGGCCTTCTAGTGGAGGTGCGGGGGCCCAGTGAGAGGCAGGCAGGCAAGCCCCAGCCCTCCCCCCACCTAAGGAAGCCTCAGGTCCCACCTTTGGGTTAAAGAGCTACTGGTGGGGGGGAGGGGGGTTGGTAAATGCTGCTGTCAAGCAGGAGGGGGGGTGGCCACAAGCCAAGGTTTCGACACAGCTCTTCCTAGTCCCTCTTTTCACACCCTGCACATGAACACACACACACACACCCCGTCAGGCTACTGCCTCCTATGGAGAGGATCCAAAGCCTTGCTTGGTTGCAGGAGCGGGCGGGTTTGTACCGTCCGGACTCAGAAGTCTCAGGGGGGATACCTCCAGGAAGATCAGGGCGCTTAGCAGAAAAGGGCTTCGAGGCGCTTATCTCCATCTGAGTCTTTTTCCAGTACTTGTGGACAAGACCCATCATTGACTGGACAAACATGTATATATAAACACTCAAACCTAGGCAACACCTTTGGAAGCTGGAACAAGAGAGGGGGCAGAACCTTTCAGTCTCTCTCTGAGACCTCACGCCAGCCTCTCACAGAGGGTTGCCAACTCCCAGGTGGGGCCTGGGGATGTCCTGCAAACTTGCACAGGGTTACACCATAACCAGGCAACATCCTACTCAGCAAAAGTTCACCCTGCCTGGGCAAAACCACACACACACTGACTTTAAGAGGGATGGGCACGAACCACATTTTTTCAGTTCAGTTCATGGTTCATGGCTGAACCACAAACCAAACCGAATGGGATCTAGTGCGCACGCGCTGGATCGATCAGTGCTGTAGCAAGCTCTTTCGATGGATTTTCGTGCCCAGTCCCTCGGCCATGCGTAGGAACCCCACCGCACATGCCCAGAGGGGGCGGGCGCAGACATCCCGCCAGTTCTTTTCTTACCGCCACATTGGAAAGACCTTTTTTCCTTCTCAGTCTGATCAGATCGCTGTTAGCTTCGCTTTTAGCTTCGTCTCACAGCTCTTTGGAGTTATTTTCTAACTTGTTTTTCGCTTTCAGTTCGTTTTTAGTTGTTTGCCCTTTTAAAAAAACTTTATTTTCTTCCAAGGGGAGTTTACCTCAGGCCTTCGGGCCACCACCCCCCCTACCGTTTTTTCTCCACTTCTCTTCTTATGGAGAAGAAGTGGTTTTTCAATAGATGCAGACGTTGTGGTAGCAAACTTGCTCCTCCCGATTGTCATACCCTCTGCATTTTTTGCCTTGAAGAGTCTCACAAGCTAGAGTCCTGTCGTCACTGTGCTCCCTTCTCCAACCAGATGAGGAAGAACCGCACTGCGTGCCTTAAAGTGGCTCTGCTTGAATCGGCCCTTGCTCCAGCCTCAGCCATGGAGGAGAGGCCGTCTACATCGATAGCTCCGGCATTGAGACCTGCCTCCGATGTCGACCACCCGATACCGAAGCCCTTGACATCGAAGACACGATCGTCCGCCTCTACGCTAATCAAGAAGAAGGCTAAGGCAAGTACGGAGCATAAGTCCGTGAAGAAGGGCACCTCCAAGTCCCTTAAGGCAGCGAAGAAGGGGAAGGAAGCGGTGCCTGCACTGGGTGATGCCCCTATAGTGCCTCCCACTCCACCGGCAGTATCGATATCGGAGGCCCAAGTTCCTCCACCGATACCGACCATCCATGTATTGGACTCCCCTGTCCACCAAACGGAGCCTCCTTACTCCGACATCGACACGGCGGAGCTCCTAAGTCACCAAATGGGTGCAGAGCTTTCCCCCACTCCTTCGACTTCGTCGGCATCGATAGTATCAGAAGCTCCTGACATCGATCCACGTCAGCACTGATATACCTTATGTGACACGCAGCATCACCCTCCACGTCTGCACACTCAGTCTGTCGATATCGACACCCGCGACTACAGGGACGACTCCCACAGACACGCCACTACCTTGTCTCCCAGACATCCACGGACCAGAAGTCGCTCCCCAAGAGTCTTCCTGCCTCCCCCCACCAATGGCGTGGGATGAAAGACAGTTGCGGTACCTGTATGGGGCTTA